GTGTTTGAACAATTTGTACATGTGCTGCCAAAGTAAGCAGTTTTTAATTTTTTTTTGGTGGTACCAGGAATTGAACTCATGACCTCAGGCTTCCAAGGCAAGCACTGTGCCACTGAGCTATATCCCCAGCCCCCAAAGTAAACAGTTTGAACAATATGATTCTGTGAAATACCTGCTCACCTCCATCTGCCCTCACCCAGCACTGTGTGTTGGCCAGCTCACTCCCTTCATGCTGCCTCCACTGCAGCTCTCAAAGTTGAAGGGAAACAACACAGACGTTGGGAGTATGGCGAAATAAAGATAAGAGTCAGAATACAGGAAGCTGAGGTCAAGTGCAGCCCCCTCTCTGGATGGGAGGAAAGAAACTGCTCAACTACTGTGGCAGCACATATATTTATACATTCGGTGACACCCCTCTGCCTAGCAACCTGTTTACATGGCAGCCTCGGGGCACCTCCCATTCTGGGAGCTAGAGCAGCTTGTTCATGTGGCTTGCCTCAGGCGCACTTTGTTCTCCAGACCGGCCTTGCTCCAGCCCTGCAGCACTTGTGGTCAATCTCCAGTTTAAGCCACTCCCCACACCTTTGTGTGGTGGGGGGAGGTCAAGAGTTCTACTTGTAGTTTTAATTTTACTTTTTTTAAAAAACGAAGATAACACTTTTCAGTGCATGAATATCTGAATTCTGAATATCCTCCTTTGTGGAAGTACATTTTTTTAAGAGATATGAAGGGGAGAAGAAGAAGGGGAGGGAGAGAGAGAGAGAAAACAAGAACCCTTCCCGTCTATACTTTTCCTGATGGGTAAAGATCAAATTTTCTTTTACAAGTTCGTAATGGGCTCTTCATGAATGCAAATTTCTCCACAAAACAGCATGCTGTGACAGAGTGCAATATGAAAGGAATGCCGTCATGCTAACCGGTGTGATTGGCAAAATATAGTCATTTTGTAAAGGTAAGGCAGAGATTTGGGTGTTTATGTCATCGCAGTTCAAATAAACCTTTTTCCAGCTCAAACTGTGACAACTTTCTGCCCAAACACTCCAAAATCTAGATTCTTAGTATTTTTCTATCCTATTTGAGAATATGGCACGTATATGAAAAGTGTTGACAGTAGATTCATCTCTTCTAGTGTGTTTGTGCTCTATTAGCCATTCTATGTGCTCTTTTATCATTTTTATTTGTGGTGTGAGCATATTTTCCAAAATTTCTACTAATTTAATCTGCAGCTGAGCATTACTAATTTTCTTTCTCGTTTTCATTATTTGTATGACAGGTTCTTGGGTTCTCAGTATTCTAAGTTGAACTATTACTTCATTCTATTCTTCCTTCATCCTTTCTATAGGGAGCTACAAGTGTCCCCTCAAGTTGATTTTATCACTTTTCTGAACTTTTGCATTTTTTTATTAAACTGAACTCCTGGTTCACTGAGAAGAGGGTACCTTCTGCAAAGTTGTTGGGTGAGCTGACTTCAGGTTTGTACAATAAAACTTGCTGTTTGAGCTTTGGGAGAGCTATTAAAGACCATGAAATCCTTGTAAGCTCGGCACTGGGGAGTTCATTTGTAAGTTTTAGATTTTCAAAACTGATTTTTTCCCTCTGGGTCTTTGTTTCAATGCAAACAACACAGCTAGCTGAAACATGGTTACCTCCAAATCATATTAACCTACTTCTTAAACCTTATAATTCCATTTGACATGAGATGATACCAATGTAATTTTCTACCACTAAGAATTTTTTGGCAAAATTCTGCTAATTCAGGTATCAAATCTTCTAGTTCAGTAGAAAGTGAGACAAAAACTTTTTCAGAGCTTCTTGGCCAGGCACCGTCATTCAGAATTATTCTATTAACCAAATCAGCTAGTAAAGCCAACTTATTATTTTTGTGCATTTTTTGTAAAAGCTTTGTTCAAATGTTCAGATATTTTTATGTCCTGAAATATTCTAGCAAGCTTGTTTACAGAGTCTGCTGGCATACCAGCTTCTCTTAACCACTCTATCCTATTTTCTTGAATTTTACTATTGGAAGAGATGTCTAAAATATGACACCGTATTGAGTGAGCTTTGTGATACCTCATAAAGACATCTTCCTTTTGTACATATTTAAGTACCAAGAGCACTTCAAATATGGTAACATCATTAACAGTACCTTTATATGCCTTGTCTCTTGCAGTAAGAAATCGTGGATCATCTTTTTTTGTTTTTTTTTCTGGTACCGGGAATCGAACTCACGACCTTGTGCTTGCCAGGCAGGCGCTGTGCCACTGAGCTAAATCCCCAGCCCCAAGCTGTGTCATCTTGATAGGTCAATACTTGTGCTTAGTAAAATCAAGGATATCTTCTTGATTAGTATATCTTCTTGTTTTATAACTTGTTTTATCAAGGATATCTTCTTGTTTTATAACTTGGCATAAAGACTTCAAAACAATTGGATGCATAAAATCCCACTTGTTTTCAAACTGCAGAGAGCCTTTATTTAACAGATTAGAAGTTGCCGTATTCCCTCAACTTTTTTTTTGGTATGGGGATTGAACCCAGGACTTTGTCCTTGACAGGCAGGAACTTGTGCCACTGAGCTATACCCTCAGCCCCTCCATCAATTTTGACTCTGGCCAGAGTAGGTGAGATTTTGTGGGGTTCCTGGCCAGGCCCCAGACAGAGGCTGAGTTCCCACAAGGCCCCACCTGCCTGGCCACCCACAAGGCTGCTGTAGGCCGGAGTGTGGACCGCGTGGACTGGAACTTCCTTAAATGATGGGAGAGGCAAATGGTGAGATGGTAAGGGGAGCCGACCTGATTTAGCAAAGGAAGGGTGGACTCCAGCCCCCACACCCTTTGTGGTTGCCTGGGTATTTGTGTTTAAAGCAAGACTGATGTCATTGACAGGCAGGAAGGCAGGGTGTGGCAAAGCTGGCTGGGAGAGTAAGTGTGACCTGATTGCAGGACACCTGCACCAGATAATTCTCAAGGCCCCTTATGTGGAATTCTATTGGGTTCCTGCCACGTGCGAAGAAATAGAAGGACACAGATGCCATGAAAAGCTTGCTACTGGGTATCCCACCCTGTGTCCCCCAGGGTGTACCTTTATTTTTATTTTTCCTTTCTTACTCTGCCCAAGTTTGCTCTGCAGAGCTAATTTCTATGCTACCTTTCCCTTTTAACTTTTCAAATAAACTTTGCTACGGTTCTTGCCTGTCTTGTTCAATTCTTTGTTCCAGAAAAAAAGAACCTGGAAACCACTTCCAGAAAGAGAAAGAGACTATCCAGTAACAAGTCCATTTGGTGTTTATTGACATACAACTTCTTTTGTCTGAGAAATTATCACAACTGTGAACATAGCTTCAGTTAAGAAATAACACTGAACACTTGTTGATTTTGGTACAAGAAAGGAACTTCTCAGGGCTTTATTGTGTGGATTGCTTTGTGTGTGGACCACAGTGAAAAATGTACACAGGACTTGGCAATGTGTTGGTTTGTATCTATTCTTACATCCACTTCCGCATGCCACTGAAAACCATCATGTAGAAAGTTCTGTGGACTATTGTTTTGAAACAGGAAGAGTACAGTAGCTGGATTCACAATCCATTTTCTTAAGAAGAGAAGGCCATACTGTGATTATGGATGGTAAAAATGAATGTTTGTACCCTTGCTTCTGCGTCTAAATCTTTGCATGTCATTTTGAGATATAAGGAAATGTCCCCTGAATCAGGGAAGTTCACACAGATCTGCTTCTCTAACTACCTTTGGCAGCTTAGGTGTTCATGGATTTGGGCAAATTTTTTGGAATCATACGATCTGATTTACTGCTTCAAAAATCAAGTATGGGGGCTGGGGATTTAGCTCAGCGGCAAAAGCGCCTGCCTGGCAAGCGCAAGGTCGTGAGTTCGGTTCCTGGTACCGGAAAAAAACAAAACAAAACAAAACAACAACAACAACAAAAAATCAAGTATGACCTGCCTATGGACATCTTTAAAATGTTGCTCAGGTCTAGCTAGCTTCAGGCAATAATGAATAAAACCTAAATGACAGTGCTGTTGTGGGAGAAAAACAAACTCATTCTACAAGATCTTTACCATTTTTTATTCCACAACCACTGAAACGTGCAATTCTTAGTTCTCCGTTCACTTTCTGTATCTCTTTTTCTTATTTGGAGCAAAGAGATAAGTGTGTTTATCTAAAATGCGTTTCTGTAAAGGAGGATCAAGAAGCTGTGAAGTGTGACCTCAGCTGACTTGGAAACTAACGAGAATGAAGAGAAAAGTAGATCTAAAAATCCCTACAGACATTTCTTGGCACACAGGATCAGCAGCCTAAGCCGCTGACTTAAAAAAGTAGAAAACTGTTCAAATAATTTTAAATGAAGCACAGTTATTCTAAATTATTTGGACACTTATTTCACTTGTAGGTTTCCAATGGACACCCAGCCACGTGCCCCGTCCCTTCCCGGGGGGCCGCCCAGCCGCTCCGGGGGTCGAGCGTGCGGCTCCCCGCGCCGATCACGCGGGCTCCCGGGCCCGGGCGGCGGCCCCGGTCAGCTGAGCGAGTCCCAGGCTCCCACGGACGCGCCGGAGTTCGCTGAACTTTGCACCCCGCGTGACGGGGGCTGAGCCCGCGCGGCGAGCCGGCCTTTCCGCGGACGCTCCGCCGAGA